AATATGCCCTATGAGTTCATGTTATGTAATTCTTATTTGTTGTTTCAATTTAGATATTTTTTCTATTTAATTGCCATTTTCAAATTAGTCCATCTTTGAAATTCCTTCCATTCCTTGTTTAAGAATTTTTTTTAGTTTCATAGGCCAAGGATCCTTTAATGTTATCAAATTAATGTAGAATTAGATGTTATTTGGTAAAGACAATGTGACCTTTTGTTTTGAAAAAGGCATCATATATTGATTATTTTGCTTAATCATGTATGGACTATATGGCTTGTTTGTGTTTTTGTCTAATTTTCTCTCCTTGTTTTAAGTATGTATCATCTCAAATAGAGCATGTGTTGTGTTGGACATTGATGTACATGTTTTTTTTTTCTTTCTTGCCACTTATTGTAAGTTTTCAAGAATTCATTTATGTTTGAGAACTCACTTGTATTGGATAAGAATTCATTCTTTTTTAATGTCTCTCAATTTCTCTATTATACCCTATTTAAGCTTTCTCATTTATCAAGAAATGACATAATATCTAAAACTATATTCATATCTGGTTGTATTGGTTATATCCTAAATTAGTCGAGTTACTAAAGTTGGTAAATAAGTTTATTGAATGAATTACATTAAGCAAGGATTGTCTTCTAATAGGATGGATTGATAGAACTATTATTGAGGAAAGGATCTAGCTTCATACTTCTCTAGACATTGTAGCAATAAGGTGCATAGATTGGTTTTGTTCTTTTTGAGATTCTATGGATACTACTATATGCAATCACATCCATCTTGATCTTTGCACAACCAAATATTCTTTCACAAGATGTAATGTTAATAGATAGTAGTGGCATTAAATCAATAATTTATTATAATCAATGTTGATAAATATTGTATCTTTGATAATAGGATTTACAATGTCCAATGTTAGGTTGAATGATATTTTGGTTTTAAGAGCTATATAGAATTTTAATCCAAACAATGCGAGTTTCTTCTGTACTTACTCAAAAAAAATCTTAGACTTGGAATCAAATCTTAATCACTACTTTAGAATTCATTTGGTATTGATTTTAGGATTATCTAGACTAACATGTGTATCTCAACATCTTGAACAAGATTAAATCTTAGAATCCAAAGATGAAATATGAATGACTTCCATTAAAAGATGTGGGATGTATGCATCAACAACTTTTGAGTGGTAGCTTCTTCTCTCTTAATTACTTAAAAGAAACTATTTTAAAATTCTTAACCTAATTTAGGTTCTTCAATTTTCTTTAGTAGATTGACCATCCACTCTTGTAAAGACTTATGTAGTTATTTATCTCCCACAAAGTATGCTTTTACAACCATTTTTGAAAATAATCTATTTTTTGCTATACCTTGGCTTCATTTAAGATTACATGTACAACTTTCTTAACTAACAAAAAACCTTTACTGCTTCAAAACAAACCATCAAGAAGGATCTCACTTAGGATTACTCATATAGGATGGATATTTGCATGTTTTTTCATATATGTGGCTATAGCAATAAGTTATTGTTCTATTCTATCTTCATTGCTTGCAAGTTTTGCATGTCACTTTTTTTTTGACATTGTAGGTGATATTAATACATGTGCCAACCTTATCTTTACTGCCATGGTATAAGTTGTAGTTAATCTCATTTTTACATACTATTGTAAGAAGAACTTTTTTTCTTCTTGTATGGTTGCTTATGAATAACATACATTTCTTAGGTTTGCATTTTGTACTAATTCTTCAATAATTCTAAAATCCTAATCTATCCCATTCTAAGTTGAAAATCTTTGTGCGCCTTTATGCATATGGAAGGTTTTTGATGCCTTATAGAATATGTAAGGTAATTAAAGATTAGATCTACAATAAAATCACAAGCTCAATATATAAAAACTATACTTTTTCACAATGATTTTTGCACTTATGCACAGGAGCTTGCCAAAGCCTTATCTTTGTCATGGTTGTTCTCTAATAGCATATTCATCGTTTAAAGACTACTAAGTTGCTACCATTCATCTTCATTTCCTTCTCTATTTTTTCTTTTATATTATTCTATTATTATTATTATTATTATTATTATTAGTAGTAGTAGTAGTAGTGTGTTTTATTTTTATTTTTATATTCTTTAATTTTTTGTCACTAAATAAAGTATATATTAATAGAGAATTATTGTGTGTATAGCATCTTGGGATCTTATATCTTCAAAGAAAAAAAGCAAGAGGGTGTACTAATACATAGCACATCTATTAACCTAAATTGGTTATTTCTTATAGATCATGCACTATTAGGTTACATTGTGCAATTCTTGAATTCTATGTATTATTTATGTTTATTTTTTTATTGATGGTGTATTTTTAATTATTTATGGATTTTTTTAATAGATGTTTTATTATTATTGCTTAATTATTATTATTTTTCATCTTATTACACATCACTTTCTATAAAATCTTGCCATATTTCAACAATTTATTTTGGATTAACTTCTGTATATAAATATTATTCCATGTATCACTCCTTTATTACTTTTGGTATTAGGTTATTTCTTACAAATAATAACCATAATTAAACTTAGACTTCACAAGGTTTATTCTAAATTAATCATTTTTTTAAGGACAAGGTTAGTTTTTACAATGCAACTTTAAAAAGATATTATATTTTATTATTATTATTTTTGTTGAATATTAGAACTTACTCTTTAATAATTATTGTATTTAGGTTGGTTGGAAAGAAAAAAGAAGTATTAAATGTACCTAAGTTCAATATCTTAATTGCAACTCAATAGATTTAGTCATTGGCTATAAAATGTGACAAGTAAGTTGATCACCATTTTGTACTTAGTTGCAAATATAAATAAGTAAATAAATAAAGTAATAAAATACTCTATAGAATGAAGAGACACTCTATTCATAAAAATTTCATGGTTGATGGGTAATTAAAAAAACTACTAATGGCGTTGCAGTGTACCAAAAACCAAGTTTTAACAAGGCATTCAAAAATTAATTAACTTTCATTGTTTAACGCATGATCACATTCATGACATCTAATTGTAAATGAATGCTTTATAATTTACTACATATAAAATAATAATTATATAATAAAATTGATGGAAATTTAAAATATTTTTAATAATGATTAAAACAAACAAACAAACAAAAATGAATTGTATTCAAGTAACCTTTAAAATACAACAGCCATTTTGGATTTCACAAAAAAAATAGTAGAACAGCCAATAAAGAATTTATAACATGCATATAGATTTTTATAAAAAATAATAATATATATATATATATATATATATATATATATATTTTTTTTATAAGAAAATTGTTTTCTTTTTTCTTTTCTTCTTCTTCTTCTTCTTCTTCTTCTTCTGTTTAAAAGTTTATTTTCTTTGGGTGATTATCTTAGAAGTCTTACATTAAAGTGTAGTCATTTTCTAGTCCTGTTATGTTATAATGTAACTTCCACTATTGTAATTTTGAAAAAAAAAAAATAAAAAAAAATCATTGAATTATTTTTTCATTCAAAAAGTATTTTATTTATGTATTTATAAATATTAAAATAAAAATTCAAACTATTTCTATGATAAGATGTAAAAATGATTTTTTTTACTCAATTAAAAATATTTCCATAAATTTATAATGGACTCTACTCGTTTTATTTTTGATTTGGTAGTGAGACAAAAACTCCAATCAATTCATAATATTTTAAATAAATGAATAAAAAAATAATGAAATTTAGAAAAGAAAAAATCTACATATTAAAAATGGATCGTCCTTTCAGGTTGATTGTGGTATTAAGGCATAAGATAAAGGCATCATAAATTGTCAACTCATGTTTTTTATCAAAAATATAAAACAAATAAAATACTTACACATTCACTATGGCACTTATAAACAATTGCTATGTTAAGTTTATGAAATCATAAGAAATGAAACTATTTTCAAACTATTGTAGTGAGAACAGTAAAGATAATCACATAATTACTTAACATTTGATACTTACTTAAAATAACTATAGGTAATCCCTTGGGATAGTAAAAATATTATTAATTTTGTAGTATGTTTTAAAAAAAAATCAAAATCAAAATCATAAAAATAAACCAAGTTTGGTTTTTACCATCATAAATATTAAATACTATTCACAAACTTAGACTGTTGATCAGTCAAAACATTTATTATTTGTTAAATACTTGCATCGTTGCAAGACAACTAGGTTTTGTAATGTTGTGGTTACTTGTCACTAAAATGTGTGATCACGATGTGTCTTCAAAAAACATAAATTAAAAGTCATAGAATACTCATGTCATTTAATTCAAAAAAAAAATTATTACATTATCTTCCCTGGGTCACCTCTATGCAAATGTTTTTGCAACCTTGTGCTTTGATAAATAAAATAAAATAATACGTATATGATTTACATCTCATCTGGTCGTAAACGTGGATTTTCTTTATTATTTTTTTCAAAACAAATAGCATTTGTACTGTTGTTTGCCTAACTAGTTGCATAGATACAGGCTGAAAAATCCTAAAAATTGACCATGTTTATCATGCTTCACATCCTGTACGATTTCACTAACAGAAACTTCATCAAAATTGTGCTACTTACTTTAACAAGTCCATATTTGAAGAAAAATGGTTAAGGATCCAGAATTTAGCCTTCATTTAAGCCACTACGGGGATGCGTGAACTCGTGAAAATCTGAGCTGCCTATTCAAATGCTGTGGCTGCTGATGGCCACATGTGGGAAAACAACCAGGTCAACCGATGGACAGCGACACCGCTGTACATGGATGCTCACGAATTAATTACGGATTGCATCACTATACATCAGGCAGCTCAAGTCAACCCAGTTCCACGAGAGGGAGAAAGAGCTGCTTGAAGGTTGGCTCAGAGTGGCTCAAGTGGGGCTAGGTTCTGAAACCAAGAAAATCACTAGTGTAAACCATTGCCACTTGTCAGAGTAAAAACAGAACTACCCTCACAATTCAGAACGCTTCAAGGTTTTTGAGACCAACACAAGGCAACAGTTAACATTTTAACATCACCTGAATGATGGACAAGTCTTCCACCTTCAAATGTACAGCATGTACAACGTTTTCAAGATTTTCATTCTTGGCTCATTGAGAGTGCACCCACAATGATTTTCTCCCTCGTATGCATTCAAAAGTACACCTACCTTTTCATACAAGTAAAGTACATATTGTACAATCCGCCCTAAAGAAAACCTACTTATTCGAGACTTGGAGCATGCGTAGACAAAGTGACTACCTTGGCTGCTCTATTCAACTGCTGAGGTTGCTGACTGCCACATGTGGGATAATAACCATGTCTAGGGATGGACAGCAACAAGGCTGTCAAATGGATGTTCATCAATCGGGTTACAAATTGCGTGACTGTGGACCATGCAGCTCAAGTCGAACCAGTTCGATTCAACCCACTTTGCCACGAGAGGAGGAGCTGCTTGGGCCAGAGGAAATGCCCGTTGATGCACTTGATGATGCTGGTTGGGATGCAGTAGTCCCGATCAGCCAGTACAGAGCCCACTTTAGATTACAAAGAGTGAGCTTTAAGGCTTTTGTCCATCTTTCTTGCCGGTTGAAACTCTGTGTAATGGTGAGTTCCTCCACTTTATCATTCTCAATCCTGCATAACGATCACAATTTCGATGAGGGATGATCTTTAAGCAGCAAAACTACCCGTGTGTACCACCAAAGTTATAAAAGTCACAAATGCTGCTTTCTTATAGTAGGGTTGAAAGAAGCTTAAGCCCCAAAATAACGTCACCGTGTGAGTTCAGAATGTTCAATGATTTATGAACACAATGAGTTTCATTTCAACAGGTCACACAAAATTTAAAACTTTGGCTTTAATTATTATTTCTTTGAAAATAGAAGAATTTGAGTCAAACGAGGGTAAATAGTGGGTGCGGATTGCTAACTTGTACGGGAGCTTGAAGCACTTTTCAGGTGGAATATTAGCTTCCTTGTCTTTGGCATTTGCGAATTCAGCAAACTCCTTCAGACACGCAACGAAGAAGGTCATGGCCTTGTCATACCGTGAGCTCCAAAAAAGGTTCACTGGTCCATACCTGTTTCAAGAAAGATAGGTCATGCCTGTAATGTTTTGTAAGCTACAATTGGAAAAATCCTCCACAAAAAAAATAACTGTAGATTCTTGATACGCAGTACCACCGCCTTGGTTAATCAATTTGAAACAAGATTGGCTAAAAGAAAGATGCCAATTTTTTCACTATACGTTGGAAGATGCAAGTTTATCTAAACTTACAGCTCATAAGTATTTTTGTTGTCTGCAACCTTGGGGTAGCTACCCATTGGTATTATTTGGTAGCTGTAACAGCGTGATGGAAAAAACAGGAACTTAGGGACAAGATGTAGAATAAGGGAAATAAACACCAACGCTCCAAAAGCGCCTATTTCAAAATCCTCTACCAACCTTTGAAAAAAGTTTTACTTTAAGAAATACAAATACAACATTCAGTCATATATATATGGTCAATTGCACCCAAGACCTCATGACAAGTCTCATCTATCAAGGAGAGCACGAAAGCAGTTTTTACGCACTTTTGACCAAAGAAGTTTGTGAACAAATTAAACCACCGTGAACAGACATCATCAAACAAAATGACCAAATTGGACTTCTACACTTGAATAAGGTTAAGGATGCATACGAGAAATTGAGGCAGCAGAATTGAGCCATCGTATGCAAAAGTAAGCACGCCTGACCCCACGCTGCATTGATCTCATCCCATTCCACCTGTAGAAGACTACAGATAATCTTACTACCTCAAAAAAAATGGAATTGCAAGGACGTCATATAATGAACAATACTTATATACAATCGACATATATTCTGCAAGTCTATCACGCAGGAAAGTACTTACCGGCACGTTAGGTAAACGTCCCAACCGGAAATTGTTTATAGTACCGAATTCTCCATCATGCCAAATATGGAAGGCGTCATTGAGTACATTGGTGCGTTTCAAGAGCTCTAGCTGCGATTGGACAACTTCGATTTTTGCCAAAATACCATCTCTATCCTCCTGTATGCGGTCACTAAAATGTGTCACTAAACATTTCGAATAAGGCAGCCATAGGCAGCGAACTGATAACAGACTTTTAACTTGCACTTGTCTTCACACTAAACTTGGTTCACTTAAGGCACAAAAAATCACAACCAAGTGTGTAAGAAATACGAGGATAAAATAAGGAAACAATTTAACTCACCTGATGCACGGTCAGATTCAGCTTAAAATCATTGAAATCATGCCAGAACCTGCAAAGACAACATACCAAGATTAGTGTCACGGAAACCTGAATAGAGCGCACTAACATAACTGAACTGTTATAAGGTCGACTGCTACGCCACCAATATTCGGAAGGATAGAGGTATCAACGTAGATCAAGCTTTGTCTCATCTTACTTCTCTTCAAGCTCTAGAAAGTCTTCAGTCTTGAGCTCAACGTCATGGATTTGAGCCATTGTCTCTTCCTTCTGTTGTTCAATGTCCCTAATTGCTGCTTCCAACCTCCTTTCATCCTCTTCCGCCTTCAGAACCAATGGAAAGGAATTCGATTTAGCAAAATATGGGAGGATTGAAAATTGGAAGCTTCCGAAATGAAGACCACATATGTTACAATGATCTCATTAAAAATGATTGAAAAAAAGGCTAGAGAAGTAGCACAACACTTAAGGGATAGCAATAGATACTTTTCTGTGGGTGAAAGGTTGAATTATCTAGGAGAGTAAGAAAGTTTTGCATGTTAGGGTTTGAGCCACACCTTGAGTTTTTCTTTCAGAAAATCCTCTTCATTAAGAGCTTCAACGGAGTCTTTCTCAAGTCGATCAAGGCAAGTATGGTAAGCCTTGATGTCATTGTTTACATCTTCCATCTGCTTGTCTAACTCTTCTGATAATGCACGCATGCACTCCAAACATAGAGGCTGCTCTACCTGTTGAAAAAATGGCTTCTAGTAATTTAGTCACCAAAATGAAATCACTGCAGTAGCCGCACACATCTAATCATCCTAAATCCAACGAAGAAGAAAGATACAAAGAAAATATTATCAGTATAGTGCAGATCGAACTCAGCTCTAGAGCCACATAAAACCAGGAAGGTGAAAGTACTGGCACAGGCCAGCATCTGAATACACGAAACGGTGTTGAACAATTGCAATGCCTAACCCTCAATATGCTAAAATATTGTGACATCCAGTGACCATAAATTCTGAGCAAGCGCATGATATTATGATGGTTGATTGTAATCACATGGGTTACATGAGATACCGTCATGAAAAGAAAAATACAGGAGGAAAACTACCTGTGTTTGACTCGATGCAATTTCAAACGCACGAGTGAGGACATTAACAGTCGCATTAAAACTTGCATTACTGGTGTGCTGGCCACCGCTGTTGCTTCCACCCATCCCTCCCATGTGAACAACGGCTGCCTCACCAAGAGGATCAAACGTGTACAAAGATGCTGCTGCGGAAGGCAGCACTACGAAAGACTCATCCATAGCCCGTCCACCATGAGTGTCGCCAGTATTAACTATTGGATGAGGATTGGCACCTACAGATTGAGTAGCCCCTGAATAAGCATGTGATTCTTGGAAAGAACTACGGGCAGGACACCCTTAACAAATTTCAGAAAATGACCACCTTATCTAGGAAGGAATGTACAGACTGGAATAATTTAACCGTTTACAATTACTACTAAAAGGTTCAAAAGTTTAAACTTCTCCTTAACTGCATATTCAGAATATTTGTGTACTTTAGAAATAAATTAATAGACTAGAAGAAGATTACATAAACCCCTCTTTCTTTGCAAAATTAAGGAGAGCGTACCAGGAGTTGGATAATGTAGTCCCCCAGTCCTAGGACGAGGAGGCAGAAATCCTGGTTTAAGTCCACCCTGCTTCGGCAACACCACAAAAGAGTGATCCATCCGGCTGCTTGCAAGAACGCTTCCACTTCCATGCGCTGGTGCTTGCACCCCTGAAAACAAAGCAAGTAATTTTGTTTATCAAACACATACTCATCCCGATGGCTTACACAAGGATAATTGGACGATTACTTCTAACAGCACAATCGCCACTCTTTCGGATTTGTTATAAAAATCAATCTTAAGATTACTGTCTAAATCATTCTGACGTCGCCTATTGGGGACAGTATATAACTCCACTGTCAAAATCAATAAGATCATTACATCAAAGGCCAGGCGATTCCGGTGTTTGTTAGCTTCAATACAAGCTTCGCCGGAACCTAAGGTTATAAGCTTAATACACATCGACTCAATCGAATTAAATCTTAATTTATAATTGCTGGCAAACCAGATAACAAACGTACCTGACCGTCCAGACTCGGCTGCGAATCGTTCGGCAAAAGTGTCCGCGCCAGTGACAATAAAAGGATGTCGACACATTTGACACAGCCATCTTGGCGAATTAAGATCACCTCCCAAGCCAGCCCTACCACCTCTACCACTTGCTTCTTCTTTCATCTTGGCCCTCAAACCTCAACCCACAAGAGAAGATCACCTCCAATCTACAAATTCCGATAACTCGATCCAAATCAGTACAGACCAGCATGCAGAAATGGACGATCCACCATAAAAATAAACTAAAACACTCGAAATCCCACACTGCAGCCAAGAGCACAATTACCCTACCACGAGAAGGCAATCACATGCTCTGACAGGATTTGGTTGACCAATCAAGGTTCCTGGCTCAAATTTGGGTTCACGACTCCCGAGAATTGGCAACATCAGCAGCATCAACAGCCTTACGTCCAAAGAAGTATGAGTCTAAGAATCCATATAGAACCCTCCAATTCTGTACAAGAGCCGTGGTGGAAATTCATAAGCTCTTATGGTATCTCGAAATCTTCCAAACCCTAAATTCGTTTGTCGTAGCAGTGCAACAAGCTGGCTGCAGCAGGCAACGTTGCCCCGCACCGAAACGCGCACTGGCCTGTGTGCCAAGCGTTCTTCGCACGTCGTCGCCGAGATTTTGCTGTTGTGGAAATTTGTGGAGCTCGTCACGACCGAAGTTGCTGGACTCGGCAATTGAAACCCTAAACAGTGTTCGTAGGAAACAAGAGTGGTCCACCACGAATTGGCTGAACGCAGTCGTCGGCGATGGGGATGAGGTTTTCTGTTTACATTTTAATAGAATCTGTACATTGTATGAATGAATTAAATGGTAAATAGAATGTTTCGTAAAAATAAACATTAATGTTGATATTTGTGACTTACGTATAAGAATCTTAATATAGTTCAAAATTAGGTGAAGTGGAGAGTAGAAGAATTAAATAGTGTTGAACTCCATCTTATTTAAAGCTTAGGTGAGTTATACATAAGACTGTTTTAATAATTATGAATTGAATTGAAGATCGAGGGAAAAATGTTAGTTCTTTAAAACGAAAGTAACTTATTATTCATGTGTATATTTTGGAATTTAATGGTAAAAAGTATGTTTGGTAAAAATAAACATCATTGAAACTTTTTTTGACATCAATGTGTTTAATTCAATTAATTATGTCTGTATCAACGTGTTTCAAATACAACATTTTAATTATGAATTACAAGTATTTTATAATTACGTTAATCATTTAATATTTATGGAGGAAGGAATTATTTTATCATTTTATTGTGAACCAAGTGAGTGTCTAATTTTTTTAAAAAACACAATTAGTAAGTGTCTAATAAAAATTTATTTTATTATCAAAATTGAAGCAATGTAAATCACTGAAGGCATGCGGGGAGAAACAGACGAGGAGATTAAATAGAGTGAAAAAAGTAGAGGGGGAAATAAATGGGGCAAGAGGGTGGGGAAGGCCTGGGCCGGTATGATGGGACGGCATCCATGACAGGAACCTGCAAGAAAGGGTGGGATAGGGTCACATGGCAGACTGGAAGCCCCGGTCATGTGGCTCAAGTCACTGTCAAGTGACAGTGCATGCCTCCCGCCCCCGCCCTCGACCCAGTCGTAATCGTAGCTCGTCACGCCAGTTCAAGGCCGTGGTGGCCTGGTCGGCTTGCGAGGTCCAATACCCGTCTGGTACACAGATGGTACCCGGCGTGTAACAGAAGGGGGGAGGGAAATGAGGGAGCTCTATGGGAAGGGGGCAAGGGGTTTCAAGAATTTTTTCTATTGTCGCTGCTGCGCCTCCGTCCTCTGTGCGTTGCACTCCTCCCCCCCTCACCTTTGCTGTCGAGTGGAGTTGCAGCAGGCGCTGGCCCCGGCCTTGCCTGTTTGGCACTCATGCCTTCTCACGGGACATGATGAGGCTCGGCCGCTCCTAGGGCTAAGTTCTCCTCGTCCCACTCATTTTTGATGAATACGTTCGAGTCCCCCATTCGCAGCGTCGTGCGGCTGTGACAGCAAGTGGAAAATTACACAAAAAAAAATTAAAAAAAATATATACTGCACCACTGCTAGAGCCTTACCTTCGCCGCTCAAGGCGCGCCGCCGTCTCCTTCATTCGGGTAAGGCTATTGCTCTGCTCTTCGTCGTGTGTTTGATACTCGGAGTATTGGCTAGGGTTCGGGGTGATCTTGTTCGCTGCTCTGAATCAGTATAGGCTGTCTAATGCTTAGGTTTTATTTTATTTTACTTTATTTTTATTCCCTTGTTGTTGTTGTTGTTGTTGTTATTGTTGTCTCTTTCCTTCCGTTTTAGTATCGAGTGCAAGTGTGTCGCGAGTTTGTGTTTTGTTGTGTGCGACTGCGACCGCAAGTTTTTGCAATAGTTGGCTGACAGGGTATTAAACTGTGGGTGCTGTGTCATGGCGCTCTTTTCTCGCAGAGCCGCAGCCTTTTTTTTGTGGTGGTGTGCGTGGAGTCGCAAAGATTCCGACTGGGAGGAGAGGAGGGGGGAGAGAAAGTTGTAGAGAAGAGAGAGAAGACGCGGTGCGATCATTTTTGCCACCATTTTTGCTCTTAGACCTCTGTCCGTCAGGGTCTAAAACTATATAAACATAGAAGCCTCGTAACATAGAATTCAGGAACTTTGATACCCGGGCGAGTAACATATTTTTTTACCTTCTTGCCTGCGATAACCTTCGAAGGGTCCTCGGCAGTTTTGCACCTAAGTTCCTGGCCGCCCTGCTTAATCCGGAACCAGATCCTTGTGTCAGTAGCAATCATGGCTCAGACTCCAGTTCAAGTTCAGCAGCAGGCTGCGCAGGCATCCGCCGGGGCCCCTCCGCCGGCTCAGTTTGTCTCAACTTCTCTTTACGTTGGTGACTTGGAGCCTAATGTGTCTGAAGCTCAGTTATACGAGTTGTTCACTCAGGTTGGGCAAGTTGTATCGATCCGGGTCTGCCGTGATCTCATCACTAGGCGCTCTTTGGGGTATGCCTACGTCAACTACAACAGCGCTCAAGATGGTATGTTTTCCGAACCAGTGACATTGTCACTTGAGTCGTATCTTAACTTGCCTCTAGTCTGTTGCAATTACTGCATATATTGTGGCTAGGGTTTTGTATATCGAATGCATTCTGAATTCGAAGGGGAGGTGTGCACGAGTATTTGTATGGTAATCTAGTGGTGGATCGTGGCCTTACTGTCTCTTGTTTGACTATTTTATGTGTTCTACGTAGCAGTGGAACTCATGTATAATGGTATGTCGTTTGTCCATGTGAATTAGGTTCAATGCGTTTGTCCGTTCATTTCCTCGATGATTCTGAGTTGTGCACAAGTAGTTCGTGAAAATCAGCACGATAGTTCCTTTTCTTTTCATTTCTTTTAACTTTGCTGGTATGTTAAAATTATGCCATAAGTAATCGTTCGCATTTCTTTTAGGAGGGTTTCTATCCTTGACCGTGGGAGTAGTATGTACAGGGTGACGTTTCACAGACATTTCATATTAATTTTCTGAAGAGGTATAATTGTGTTTCATTGAGTATCTGACGGGGTTTATCTGTCTTTAACGTGCGTCAGCTACTCGTGCCTTGGAGCTTCTCAACTTTTCAGTTCTGAACGGGAATCCAATTCGTATCATGTTTTCTCATAGGGATCCCAGTATTCGCAAAAGCGGTACAGCAAATATTTTCATAAAGGTATACGACTAACTTTTCCGCTGATATTGCTTGCAATCCTTCGTATTTTACTTTTGTGGCTTTTTGGCATGTTCATTAAGTAAGCTCACTAATCAAAGTATTTTTTTCCCTACTCGGGGTTTGACCTGCAGAATTTGGACAAGACCATTGACAACAAGGCACTTCATGATACGTTCTCTGCGTTTGGTGGCATCCTGTCATGCAAGGTGGCCGTTGATGGTTCTGGTCAGTCAAAAGGCTACGGGTTCGTTCAGTTCGAGCAAGAAGAATCAGCTCTGACGGCTATTGAGAAAGTTAACGGAATGCTGTTGAACGACAAGCAAGTTTTCGTCGGCCCTTTTGTACGCCGTCAGGAAAGGGATCAATCAGGTGGAGTTTCCAAGTTTAACAATGTTTACGTGAAAAACCTTGGAGAGAATACAACTGAAGATGATCTCAAGAACGTATTTGGTGCCTATGGTACAATCAGTAGCGCTGTGGTGATGAGGGATAGTGATGGCAAGTCGAAGTGCTTTGGATTTGTTAACTTCGAGCATCCCGACAATGCTGCTAAGGCTGTTGAGGCCTTAAATGGTAAAAAGAGGGATGAGAAAGAGTGGTATGTCGGAAGGGCACAGAAGAAGTCAGAGCGGGAAGCTGAGCTTCGGGCGAAATTTGAGCAGGAACGCAAAGAAAGGATTGAAAAGTACCAAGGAGTAAATCTTTACCTAAAGAATTTAGATGATACTGTTGATGATGAGAAGTTGAGGGAGCTCTTCGCTGATTATGGAACTATTACATCCTGCAAGGTTAGTCAGTATTTTATAATGAATGTTCTGTTCTTAGCCTATATTTATTTATTTATTTCCTTCTGGATGCTAAGTCCTTGCCAGTGAAGTTAAGTTCGTCTTTTAAGTATAACTCACATGTCTATGAATAATTCCAGGTGATGAGAGATCCCCAGGGCCAGAGCAGAGGATCTGGATTTGTCGCGTTTTCCTCACCTGAGGAGGCAACACGAGCGGTATGCTTAACATGAGCATCGCTTTTCATTCTCTTTATCGCTCGTCCTAGCCTTTTGGTATCACTTGTTGTAACCATTTATTACAGTAGCGTAGTACATTTGGTGGAAGTGATGAGGTTAATCTTGTTTGTGGATTGCGCAAAATACGCTGCATTTAACCATACCTAAAATGTATTAGATTGTTTACAGGTGATTTTCGGTTTTGAATATCTCAATTTGAATCTCATGAGAATCACCATTTGAACTGATGATGATCTGATTGTATTGGTAATAATAACTTTCAGGTAACCGAAATGAATGGCAAGATGGTGGGAAGCAAGCCTCTTTATGTAGCCTTGGCACAGCGTAAAGAGGAGAGGAGGGCAAGGTTGCAAGTAAGTGGGTCGAGCTGGGTTAGTAAATCTGAATGTTTGTTTGAAACTTCAAGTCCTGTATGTCGATGGTTTGAAACTTGATATTATCTTCTTCATGTGGTTTTTGTAACTTTACTACACATTCGGATTCAGTTTTTTTGGTGTGCTTGTTTATTTATCGTTACACAATTCACTTTGCAGGCAGCTTTCGCACAGATGCGAACTTCTGTCAGTCCTGCCGTTCCAACGAGTCTTCCAATGTATCATCCTGGTCCAGGCATGAGTCCTCAGATGCCTTACTACGGACAACATCCTTCTGGACCTATTCCTCTTCAGGTACATCTACTCTGCAGTCCTCTTTCGTCTATCGTGCTTTCTACTTAAGTTGCAATTTGGTATTAATTGATGCGAAATCTCTTGGAAGATTTAAGTTAATATTTGAATGTTGTTCTGTTTCGTGCAGCCTGCTGCATTTGGCTATCAGCCACAAATCATTAGACCTGGTGGAGCCCAGTTTCCAAACTACATCGGGTACGCGAATGTTCCACTGAGACAAGGACAACAAGGACAGCGCGCTGGAGGTAGACGTGGTGGGGCACCGCAGCAGCAACAGCAACAGCTACAGCAGCAGGTTTAGAGTTTTTCTTTTCAGCATCATTTTGATTTCTACTTGGGATTGGAATGAGGGAGTCATGCTTATTTTTTTCATGTGGTTTTTCTATTGAGATATTCTCGGTATCTTTTGTTGTTCAGTCGCAACCCTTACGCTCTAGCTCTGGGTCGTTCCCGAAAGCGTTGTCCTTGGAACACTGATTCTTCTTTGGGCGGCGTGTCTCATTGTGTTTTTTGATTTGTAGATGATCCAACGAGGTGGAAATCGGAACCTCCGCTATACTCCCAATGCAAGAAACATGCCGGATACTGCTGTCCCTCCTCAGGGCATCATGGGTGCTATGGTCCCTGTGCCTTTGGAAATAGGAGGTCTGCCAGTTGCAAATGTCGATTCTGGTGTACCTCAGCAGCCACTTCCAATCAGTGCGCTGGCTTCGGCCTTGGCTTCTGCTCCACCTGAACAACAGCGAGCCGTATGCTTCTCAACTTGTCCATTGCTTCATTCATTTCGAAAGATTATTATTTTTATCATAATTGAATGAAGTTTTGTCCGAATTGTCTCCTTCTCCCGTCACTTACTCTTGTTTTATTTCTGTATTTTCAGATGCTTGGTGAACAGCTTTATCCACTAGTAGACCAGCTGGAGCATGATTATGCTGGCAAGGTGACGGGTATGCTTCTGGAGATGGATCAAACTGAAGTTCTACACTTAATTGAATCTCCTGAAGCCTTGAGGGCCAAGGTTGCTGAAGCTATGGACGTCTTGCGCATGGCTCAAGCGGCTCCGGTTGCTCCAACCGACGAGCTCGGGAACCTCTCCATAAGCAATGCGGCATGAATTGATCACACGTAGAACTCTGACTGCATCGGTATTCCGGGCAGTGGGATTTCATTAGTGTGGAGCTTTTGTGTTTACTGCTACTTGGACAAGCAGTTGGAAAGGTGTTCCAACTGACGTCCAACAGTGAAAGGTGCTTCGTAGTAGGCTCCTACACTGAGTCGTGTTTTGGCTCTACAGAAGACCGGATTGGTCAACCACCTATCCAGAGAGCAGGACATGATTTCTAGTCCGAGCTTTCTTTTTTGCGTTCAGAAGTTAGGTGCTGTATGGTACGGTGTACTAGCTTACTACTACATTGTGGTTGGCATCATGCCTAGATTGCCGCACTTTTTCAGAAGTATTGTGTGCATTTTGCCAGTGTTTCTGAAGATTAATTTGCAATCATAAGGGTTTGTTCTTGCTGTTGTTCTTGTTGGGCACTTTTATAAGTGTTGAAAAAACTGGTGTCCTTTTTACTTCATTTAAATCTTTTAAGGAGCAAGTTGAGTATATTCCATTAAGTAACAAATTATCTGTTGTCACACCTTATTTAGACGCAGTTACCACGGATATCAATTTTGTTGCTGGCACTGAGTGTATTGGCCTACTATGCTCACACGTGTCAGTAATAAACTTCGTGCTCTGTGAAAGCTGGTTAGAAATTACGACACGGTCACTGAGTGATATGGTCAATTAATGTCTGCATCCGACATGCCTGCACGAACTTGAGCACTGAATTGCGTACAGCAGTGCCCTTGATTGCATTGTAGATGGTTTGGTATAGTACAACTTAGAGTGCGTGTATAACACAAACAGCATGTTGTAAAGTATGTTTCTCCAGAATTCCTAGACATTTCTAAGGGATTCAGCTGCATTATTTTTAAGAAGGAAAACAGATTTTCCGTTATTGGCAGGTAAATGATGTGGTTACGATCAGTAACATGACATGGTCCTCCCTCTGCAGGGTGTGTACTGTGAGTGCAGTACAGTCGTCGTCTTCGTCACTTTCGTATCACTGAGAGAATCGAAGTAGACTAACGATTATGGTACGATTCCGCCAATGTTTCAATGTAAATTAAATCATACGACTTCGAATGTCATTATTGGTGTGTGTACACGGTAAGTTAGAATTGAAATGACCTACAATTTCGTGACAACTTGACACCAGGTTATCCAGTGTAACAGAATTGGAGTGATTTCCGGGTATATACAGGGGAAAACAAATATTCACTATACAAAGTAACTACAGCCGTATAATAAAGGTCTCTACAACTTGCGGTACAATTAGTTACCAGTAGTTCACATTTTCTCCAGACCTGGTACTGAATGTTCCAGACTCAGACCTCAGTAATACCTGTATCAATCCTGTCATAGGACTGCTATGCAGTTCCACAAAAGCGATACCGGAAGTGTAGAGAATTCCATCTGCACCACGCTTGCGTAATTTTTGTTCAACTCTTCCATCCACTTAATGTATTCTTCCTCCATCGCCACATTGCATGGCTTCAAGATGATGTTAAGTGCAGGACACACGAAATTCTATATACCTAATGGTGAGAATGAGGGACTGGAAGGTTGAAGGTAATGCCGTGTCCCACGGGTTTCAATGAAGATTGGCTGTCAACCTGTTCAGGAAAAAAACAGCTAGTTTTTGTTAGTTTTAGGACGTTTACAGATTTAAAAAAGCAGGCGTGAAGAACACACTACACTGATTGGAATCCCTTCCAAATGCTATGCACTAACAGGTGTCGATGCTTATCTCCACCAATCCAATGCATATTAGAAAAGATAATAATAAATAAAAATAAAAATAAATAAATGAATAGCACGTTCCGAGGATTTGGCTATCACCTTGAAAATTGATCCACACATTTGTCCCTCACTATCAACTCTTGGAACAGGCTTCAATGGAGACATTGGATGCGCGAAGCTATGCAGTCCTGCGCTCGAGAAGTAACAACCTGCTCATCCAACGCCAAGAATATTTATGAATGAAGAATTATTGAGGTTTACGAGTCATGTAAACACAGCCATAACCACGATTGCAGTCAGAATGTCCCTCTGAAAATAGGTGAGAATGTACCTTGTGGAAAAGGAGCAAAAGACTTGCCACACCCTTGCTTAAGAAGCTTTGCATCGTCAGAGAAAGCAACGGTACCATCTGCAGCAATTCCCCAGTAAAATGGCACTTTACCATGAGGGTCCTGCAAAGTCGCCATGTTTACCATTAGATGCTTCAAAAGGAAAACGAGGAAGATGAACTACCCCTAATTTAATCATTGCAAAGCTCCCGAAAACATTTCGTCGCAACTACGCTGATGCACAACTAACTAATATGGCACAAATAGAGAAGCCCAGTCGGCCAATTGGATGTAGGTGCCACTTACACAGGCAACAAGAAGCGTTTTAGTTTTGTTGTCGTAGAGTACGAAAGCAAATGGACCTGATAGGTCTTGGATAACTTGGTCCGCTGAGTAAGGACCTCGATCACGCAGGACCCTGTACATTTCTGTGATGAGCTGAACCTCATTAATCATCTTCGACAATCCATAAGTATGTCTTAGCTGCGGAAGATTCTCCAGCATCCCCATAAACATGCAGTATACATCATCCACACCACAGAAAGTCCTGCAACAGACGAAAATCGCGTAAGCTCACTTCCAATTTTTATTTTAAAAATATTTCCATGCAGCCCAAAGGGATATCGTTCGGACTTCCCGAACAAAACAAATTGTACGATTTATAAATTGACCGATACGTTTCAACAAGATTCTTCTGAATTGCCCAGCAGAGTAACACCCTACCTCATGTAAACGATTAAACAAATGCGACACCAGTCAGCAACGACAGCTGAAGAATTTCCACACTTGGATCATACCTTGGACGTAATAGAGCTTGTTTCGAGTGACTGAAGGCCATGAAACTGTCTCTATCAAAATGCATTGCCATAGCATCAGGATACGACTTCTTGTACGCAGCCAAGATTTCGCTGCCATGGCATCGGCTGTCGGGGCTCCCGCCGTCGGGAGCAACTAGCTCCGCCGGAGCTTTCGCCACGGACTTGTGCACCACAGCAAGCATCTTCACAGTTCGCGTATCACAAGACCTAACGTGAAAACACCACTACCACACTATTCTCTGCCGATCAGAAACAGACGGACCGCCGAACTCCTGCACTGTCACAACACATGGAAAAAAGAAAAAAGAAAAAACGAATAAGAGGAGGAAAAAAAAAAAAAAAAAAAAAAGCATAAGAGGTAGATGCTGCACATAGCTAATGAATTTTAACACAATCTGCTGCGCAACATGAACCGCCAACACGCTACTCCGAAAAACCGTACTCAATTTAAACAATGCTTCAAAATTGACTAGACAACACTGGCTGTTGACTCATTTCTGCCGTCAGTTAGTTCAGACCTGAGAAGAGAAATGTCCTAGGTAAGTTACACGCTATAGCAGCAGCAGCAGCAGCAGCAGCAGCAGGATTAAACGCTTAACAAAGGCTTGCGATCGGGCAGCAGCAGCAGCAGGATTAAACGCTTAACAAAGGCTTGCGATCGGGCAGCAACAGCAGCACTGAACCTCGATGGTGACGAAATGGTAACAAGATAAAACTGCGAGAGCGGGGGCAAGCAAGCCAACGAACTAACAAACAAACAAGCAATGAAGGCAAAGAGAGTGTGGGGGTGTTTGTAATACTGAGCGGGGGCGGGATGGGAAGGTCACTCTCTGCCAGTTGAGCGGCACTTGTAGGCGCGGGTTGGATAAACTGCTGGGGTCCGGTTGATCCGGCCCACTCGGTTCGATTCGGTCCCGTCCGCTTCGGTCCGGACCGATCCTGTCAGTCAGCAGGTCAGTTCAGTCAGTCAATCCGTCGTGCCATCAGAGATAGGCTTCATTGTCAGCCTGGATAGGAGCTCCAGGTCACTGCGCTCACCCCGCGCTTTCTCTTTCACTGCCCCCCTCCCCCACCCTGCCCGCCCTACCCGCCCCAGCGGGTTCTGAATCTTTGATGCTGCGTCCGTCCTTTTCATCTGTTTAGGGTTTCTGAATTACTCTCTTGGCGTTTATCCTATCTTGTTAGTTGTAATGTGATCTATCGTGAAATTCAATTTTCATTTCAATTGAAATAGTATATTTGGCTCCTTGAAAGTAATATATTTTTTATACCCCAAATCAGCAAACGTTGAAAAAATAAAATTGCACTAGAGTTAGTAAATGGGAGTTTTCAAGTGATTATGGATTTTGGCCAAACATAGCAATAACAATACGAGTGAAATAACCATGGTATTATTTTTGAAATTCAAAAGAAAAGACGAATGAAACACGTTTGAATTTTATATAGATATAAATATAATTTTCCAAAAAATAACTAAATATGAAAATGCCTAAGTAGCTATGTCTTTCAAAAGTTACTTCAATCCTTGATCAAGGGTGTAAAAATAAGTAAGGTTGAAATTACCAATATTTTATGATAGATATATGGCACCATGCAGTGGTCATTCTCAAAAGATGTTTTAACATAATAAATCTGCAAACTGTTACCAAATCCAATGAAACCTTTCAACAAGACACAACTTGGAAAAGACAATGTCTAAAATTAAGTATTTTTGGCCACAATTGCCTCATTACTCAAGGTTTCCTTTGGAAATGAATTAGCTTCTCGTGTGGCAGACAGTGAGATTAAACTAACAAATATACATATCTATACTAAACTAAAACGAATTGGGTTTTAATAACTATAACATAAAAAACTCACTTCCACCCTACTTATCAAAAAGAAAAAGAAAAAAGAAAAAAGAAAACTTGGTAACAACAGCCTGTATAGGATATTATTTTTATTATTATAATGAAGCGCTCTATCCTCCTGCGCCTTCCTCTCCTGATCTGGAAACTTACAACCCATTTTAAGAGGATGAAATTTTCCAAGCCGCTTTTCTAGAATATCACCCTTGATGACTCATGTCCGAAGAATAGATCTGACAAGAAAGCATCCAAATAACACCCCTAATAAACTATTCATGAAAAGAGGATCAAAATTGCTATGGATAAGGGAATACACATAAACACGCACACATAAACAAACAGTTAGCGTACCCAAGCTCACATCAACACCAAAAATATATATATATATATATATATATATATATATTTTCACTCAAAGATAGAACTAGAAGGAAGAAAAGAAACGAAAAGAACTCGGCACGGTGTTGGGAGGTTCTATTAAGTACAGAAGCGGCGACCGGTCCCCGCCATTCTCATCCTAAGAGCGTCCACCTCCATTCAAGTCCACCAGAACCCGCCGAAACGGAGCCGCCGAGAAAGATCTCAGCACACGTGGCACACACCGTCACCGAAGCAATTCAGTGACGTGGCAGATTGGATGTCTGAGGTGCACATCATGGGCGCCCCTCGACGTAGGCTGAAGTGAAGGCACAATGGGGGACCAGTTTGGAAAGAGACTCTGCTCCTACTTTCCAGCTCAGCCCTACCCCGGTGCATTGAACCTACCACGTGGACCGTTTTGCTGACTGGAAATCGCGAAGGAAAGAATTAGTCCTTCCTTCCGCTTCTCATACTTTTGCTGATGTCATGGATGAATAAACGAAACTGTTGAGATTGATATTATCATTCGTTGAGAAGAAGCTCTTGTGATTAGTGCCTTTTCTCATATTCACTACTTTTCCCATTTATTACTAGTAAGTTCCTGAAAGTGCTTGTGGTCCCCATGAGTAATATCACACAAGTGCTATTCCTTTTACTTTGTTAGATATTGTCAATAAATTAATTTATTAATAAAATCTCTTTATTAAATGAATTATTCAAAAGGGCTGGCGATTATTTTAACAGTTGGATGAGTTATGACCCATGTTCAATTGGGTCTAGTATGACTAAAGAAACATTTCAAAATTCTTTCTATTTTTTAGATTTTTGAGTGGGTTACTTTTTGTTTTAAATTGAGTATTTCCGTAAACTTTGAAAGTTTACTTTATTTAAAAATTGCTGGACCATAGAAAAAACTTGGATGACATCAATTAAAATCATTCCAAAAAAAAACTATAGTCTGCTCCAATGAACAAACTTAAATTCAAAAGGTTTAGACAAAAGATTTTTGTCATTTGAAAAATAACAATACATATGTCTATGTAAGAGTTTATTGGAATGAAAAACTTTGACATAAATATTTTGGAAAACAAATCATATTTAACTCAAGAAATGTTTCCATCATACCAAATGATATGGAAGAGCAGAAAAAATAAAGGCAATATATGCATATATATATATATATATGTGCCAAAAAAAACTAAAAAAAACTAAAAGAAAATAACAAAAACCAACAAAAACTGGCATTATTTAAATTTGTAATTTGTTATTCCTCACTTAAAAGAGTTTTATGCTAATGATATGATCAATTGTATACATATATTGAATCCCTGTGTGTGTGTGTGTATATATATATATATATATATATTCATACAGATTAAATTGTTTTACATTTATACAGTTCGTATTATAAATTAAAGAATTGAGTTTCAAATCCTAATATGATTTCTCATCCTCATACAAAATTAACCTCAAAATTTTAATTTTCGTAATTTTAATCAAAAAAAATCTAATACCAATAAATTGTTTAAATTAAAAAACTTGAAAGAAATAAAGATAATCTCAATATTTAAAGATATTTCTTATTTTATAACTTGGACTCATATTTGAAGTCAATGTACATATTAAAGAATAGAAAGAGAAAGAGAACAATAAATAAAAATTTAATCTCAAAGAAAAGAATCATAGTTTCAAAATTCATCAAACGATCTGAAATAGTGTATATTTTATTGTCATGTTTATATTATCTGTAATTATATTCACTCAAATCACATAAGATAATTTTTGAATAATGAGAAACATACGATTTAATGCATGTATATAACTTTATTTGTACCTCATATATAAATGCTTATGATAAATATATTTAAAAAATAAATCAATATTTTATAAAGTATTTGTAATGCTCTATCTAAATTTTAATTCTATTTCTGCTACAATTTTTATCTAATTAAATTTATACGTACATAAATACATCAAATTTTTCTTCTTAAAAAAAGTAATTGACACAATAATGTAAGTTGAATCTCTTCTGGTTGTTTAAAAATATATATAGAAACAAAACTCTGAATTTTAAAAAATAAATCACCAAATAGTTTATTACATTATAGTAAAATATCACACTTATTCGAATACCTGATTTCAGAAATACAAAAAATAGATTTTTTAGTTTCTAATTTTAAAACGTCATGTAAAATATTACGTAATCAAAAATAAAATATAAGACACTTCAAAAAAAAAGTTAATACACAGCAATAATGTAAAATATTTCAAAACCAAAATTGAACATTGGTAGTAATTTTTGGGTAAGAATATCAATGAAAACTTTCTTGTTCTTGTGCACTACTTGAAAATATCTGATAATACAACATCATCTTTTTAGGGTTTAGGGTTTAGGGTAAAATGTTCCAACTTCGGATCCAAGATTTCAAAAAAAAATATTTGTTAGTGTACAACGGCAGTTGGATTGTATTTAAGTACGAAGATTTTTTATAAATAGGATATTAAAAAATTGTTTATTTAAAGATATTTAATCAATAGATTCAATATAAATATATTGATTAATTTATAATATATATATATATATATGGTAATAATGATTAGTATAAAATAATTGATTTTAATTTTTTCTATTTTTCTATTATATCAAAATCTAACTAATATCAAAGAATTGTCCAATTGTTTTAACAATCCTTGATAGTGCATAACAGATTTTTTGCCAAAATAACCATATCTTATGAGCATTTTAGAACATAGTTCTTTGTAAATTGCTTTTCATACAATGGCCTTTTATTATAATAAAAAATATTTTTGTTACATATTTATTGATAAAATTAGTTTTAATAATCAATGTACAAAACCTTTGGTTCTTTAAATATAAAATTAAAAAAATTATCAGTATTTGATTTAGGATAGGAAGTATACTTACCATTAATTAATATTTTATAAAATCATATACATATTACTATAATAAAAAATATAAATTTTAATTATGTTCATAGGGTTTGATGTTATATCAAAAGTATTATTTTTAATGCTTAAATTTCATACTGAGTTTCTGTATTAGATTAATTAAAATAATCGAAGAATGTTTTTCCTTTACTCTATAGTCCTATTTCATATAATACAATCATATTTCAAAAGCATACTTTAAAAGTTTATGCAAAGAGAAATTCTCATTTGAATTGAACATTAACAAAGAAATCTATAATAGCTATAATCATTATCAATGAATTATTTTTTTGTTTCATTGCATGAAATAATCTTTATTCCAGGAGAGAATATTATAATTTCAATTAAATATTTTACTATATATAAATATATAAATATATATCGAAAATATTGTTTTAAAGATCAAAATACTCAAATAAATATAAATCTTATAAATCTTTATTAATTTTAAAAACAAGGTTTTATTACATATGTTATTAAAACATATTAAATAATAATTAATCAGAAAGCTTTGTTTATTTTATAGGTGAAAGTTTTAATTCCTATAGTTAGAAAGGAAAAATATGTAGTTTATTACAATTTGCAGATCATTTTTTAAAATTTGAGATGGAAGTATTTAGATTGCATTTAGACTATAATTATATATGTATGCTGTAACAACATACTCCCTTAAACTTAAAAAAGTATTTGAAACATATAATAATATGTAATATTAGATATTTTTACAATCAATAAAAAATTCAACCACTTCAAATTTTTCTTCTCTAGAATAATTCTATGTAATAATCAAGTCCACAGTTGACAAAATTATTATTTTTATTCTTATGATTAGTATTTTCTTTTAAAAAGGTTCTTAAATGAGAAGAAATAGCATATAGTCAATCATGTGATAAAACTATATTTGGTAAAAAAATCTTATTTATATACAATTATAAGTAATGGCTTTAAAACAACATCCTAATCTGAGATATTGATTTTATTTTATTTTTTATAAATCTTGGATTAAGAAAAAAAATGCAATTGAAATGACAAACAAAAAAATCATCAAAAAAATCAATAAAAGACATTATTAAGTAAATTCTAAGAAGTAATTAGAGCTTTTATAAATTTAAGCAGATCAATATTGTATTTAAACTACCTAAAAGAAGTTTTGATTAAAATCTCCTATTCATCTAATTTTTTAATCTACATAAAAATAACAAGTTCACTATAATTTTATTGTAGATTGTAATTTGAATTAATATTTTTAGAAGTTAAAGCATTGAACATAGAGGATATTAATATTATTCAATCTTCAATAATCTATATACAAAATTAGAAATTTATTTTACAAAGATAATTTTAAGTATTTAAAAGAAATACATTCACATAGTTTTCAAATTTGGTGTCTTAAAGATGACAAACTTCTCATTTAAAAGATTGTAGGTTAATCCTGAAGCTGGTTGATTTTCTTTTTTTATATAATCAACTTTTTAATCAATAGATTCATAATGGAATAAAATTTGTGCATTATTTACATTGAAAACATCTTCATAATCTCCATATTAGATTAGAATGTATCAAAAACTTTATTATGATGATATCTAGTTCATTCATAAATAGAGCTATCATTATATATGGTGCTTATGTATATGATTTTGTTTCAATATATAAATTTTTAATTTTATTTTTTTTAGATAAACTAAGGCTATAACTAATTTAAAAAAATAAAAACCAAAATAAGTCAAAAATCTTAGAATTATATAGACGTTTGATAATAATAATATTCTTGTAGTATTTAAATTATATATAACTAATATATAACTAGGTTTAAATATAAAAAAATAAAAAAGAGAATAATGTTTAATCATATATATATATATATATATACACACAATTCACTCCCTTTATTAATTAATATCATCCATTGGAGAAATATATATATATATATATATATATATAAATTATCAAACATTATTAATCATGAAAAGTGGCGAAATGAAAATCAATCTTATCAAGGCCTTGCAATTTAGGCTACTCACTGCTATTCTAAAAAAATAGGATTATAAGCTATTAAATCAATGCAATTTATTGAACAAGGATAGGATTTAGATAATGACACAGGACATTTCCTGTGAGTTTCACAAGAAATTTGTTACAAGGTCTTTGTTTAAGCTGAACAAACTAATTCATAGTAAGTAGTTTTATTTACAATTATAGTCTTTGTTTTGTGGATGCACCACTTTCTTGACAATATTCAACAATATATTTATATTTACTAAAACATAAGCAAGACATTCTTGCCAAAATTAAATTTCTTTACTTATTGTAAGAAATTTTAAAAAAATTAAATGAATCTACATACCTTTCATTTTGTATTATACATTGCACAAGATTGTAGCTCTTGATATACACTTGTAAAAATAATGTGATACAATTATGTGACTATGAATAAAATTTAAAATATTGATTGTATTATTTACTAGAATAATCACTTTTTTGGTTATACATCCTAAGATCAAGTAAATTTGGTTGCGATTTCTTTACATTGTCTTATGATTTCTGAAAATTTTGGTTTGTGTGCAACCTCACCCGACATTATATTTATTGCTAATTGATAAGATTGAGAAGCTCAAATAAATATATATAAAAAATGAAATAATGCAATGAAAGATCTAATTTTTTGGTTGATTTTTTAAGTTGAATTGTGTAGAATTATATTGTATAAGAATTAGATAACTTTACAACTTATGCTCAACAATAAATTGTGTGAGGGTGTTGAGTCTTCCAAACTTAGACCTAAAAAACGACATTTCGTTTCTATTTAATAGATGTGAGTTCATTTCTATAATGATTTGCAACAAAAGAATCACTTAAAATAGTACAATTGTTAAAAAAAAAAAAAAAAAATTAGTGATTTTTATATTTTATATTCCTAATCAAACTTGACGTTGGTAGGACTTTCACAAGAATGGTGACTGAGAGGTACTTTGGTAACGTCACATGAATGAGAAGTACTACCCATGGCCCACGTTTTATATTGAAGTCAGGAACTGAGAGGGCTTGTGCTTGTGGCATTAGATTAGGGAGAAAGTGGATCTTAGCAGCATTCATGTGATGCCAATCACAATTCCAATGGCCTTCATTGGAGACTTTTTATATTGATACAAAGTTTTGTCCTTTTCTAGATTGACTAATTGCTTCTCCTTAATCTTTTACCATAGCACTCCCCATGCGCTAGTCAACGCTTCCTTTGCCTATACTCCCCTTGGCCTTAAGTTCTGATTTTAGCAGGAGGGAGTGTAAGCAAGGGCAGGCATATATAATATCTGTTAAAATTGCTCAAAACCTATCCATGAAAGAAGAAAAACAATTGCTGTGGTACCAATTGGGCACATTTTCTAACCCAACCAGTTGTGACAATAATCCAAGTTGATGTATGGTAAGCATAAATTTTCTTAATTGTTCCTACGTTTGTGTAATTGTACTCTTTGGTTTTTATACTAATTCAAATTTAAATCTCATTTTAAATAGATTTTTTTTTTTTTTTTTTTATGAATGCAAATACTTTTTTAAAATTAAATGAAATATTGAACAATTCATATCATAATTACTATACTTTGAATAGTTTTTTCGAATAATTCTGTTAGTTTATCATAACTAAGAATTTATCATATTAGGAGTAATAACTAAGAATGTATCATATTTGGAATTTACTGTTAAGGGAAAATAACAAAGACAGTAGATTATTACAATTATTTTTACGAAGATATGTAAAATTATTCTGTTATATTCAAACAGGTCAAGTACTACCTTTACAAAAGTAAAAACTTTCAAAATGGTTTGAAGGCTTTCCATTGATAAGTTCTTTGACAGCCGTTGCAGAGCATAAAAGCATTTTGCCTTATGTTCAGTGTTTAAACTGAAGTACTAAATTAAATTTCTATTCATAACTTCACGTACTTAGGTATCGTTTGTTAAGTTCTAGTAAACTCAAAAACCCGAAAGGGAACATTAGAACAAATGTTGAAGGCAATATTTTAATTATTTCCAAGCACAACTAGAACCTTACAAAAATGTCCTTCAAGATTGATTTCAAATTGAAGACCATACCACATTAATCATAGACAGCTGTAGCAAATAGAGAATCCTATGCTACTTTTTTACCAATTTCAGGAGTCTACGCAAACTTGATTGAGAAAACTGCGAAGCTCATTAGCTTGAGAAATTGCACGGGAGTCATAATTTTACTGCTTAGTCATACGAACGAAGAAAACCACAGTCAAGACAGCCCACACTAAAAAACAGTTACAATTCCTGCACACAAGTTGAGTACAGTAACTTATCAATAAAACAAACACACTAAAAGATCACAATTGTTCAATTCGGGAGATCAAACAGTTCACAATGTTCTCGCAATTATGTCCGTACGCTTGATTATAAGTTCAAGCTCGGGTACTCCGAACATCGAGAAAAAAAAGTAAATATGATGAACACAAGCGACAGTTTCATTAGAAGAAAAAGGTACACCCTGCTACATGATGGCTGTGACCGACTACATAAAGCAATCTACACATTGTAGACAAAAACAATGGTCTCAGAGGTGAAAAACACAACAGATAATGCAAGTGCATTGAAGTGGGGATGCTTCCAGTGCAAGTGCCTGATAAGTCTACAAAGCTTCCTACTGCAGCCCCTTTTTGGCTAGCAGAAGATGTTTGCTCAGTGCCTGATGACCAAAAGCATTTCTTGGAGATGAGGTAGCCCCTTAGGTCAATGGTGCAGGACGCACCATCAACAAAATCACTCCCCATGTTCATCACCGAATTACCAGCAGGAGAAAAGAATACACTACAATTCATGAGATCCCAATTTCTACAGAGAAGAAGACGCAAATAGGCTGTGGCGAATCACCCGTGAAACCTACACTACTAAATATCAGCTGAGTAGTAACCCAAGTGTGACCAAGCCTGATAGTCAATGACTATGACCAGCTCCAAAAACTGAGCCGAATCATAAGGACCGCCACGTAATTAGAGAATGACACAGTTCTTTTGCTTCTTTTTCTTCTTCTTCTGCTTGGGTGGCTGAAGAACCACCTTTATGGCGGCATCAAAAACTGCTTTCACATTCTGCAATAGAATACAATAAATCGCCATCAAACAAAAAAATAATTGACACAGTGCACTACATAGTTGACATAATCTTGGTGCAAGTTCCCACCTACAGAAAAACCTAACTCCACCAGCTCTTTCAAGCTAAGCACAGAATACAGCTCGGATATCAGCCAGGGAAATGAGTAGCACCACAAGCGGATTTCTACATATGGTCACAACCGTACCTGCTGAGTCTTTGAGCTACACTCAATGTATGAGGCTGCTCCAATTGACCTCCTGAGCTCTTCACCCTGTACCCAAGGTAGGTCCATCATTTTAGTTTGTAAGCACTGCTAGGAAAACAGTATTTTCATACTACCAAAATACTTGAAGGCATTTACAAGCACAGAAGATTTACTTCAAGGCGTACTTGAGAGGTAGTTATTGGAGCCGCTCCTGGATGATCAGCGAAGAACTGCTTGTCGTCTCGAAGATCTGCCAATTGATGCGTGCATTTGAGAAAAAAGAGAAAAGAAAAAAAACGGACAAAAAAGAGTGTTCAGAGAGAAACCTTAATCAGGTACTTGGAAGACGCTGCAACATAATAAGACATTGCCTATGTTGCAATCTAAGAATATGCGAATCAACCTCGATACAGAACACTTCGATAAGATTATTGTGGCAAGTAAAGGTACGGACCTAGTTTCGTTCCCACGAGGATGATAGGCACAGATGGCGCATAATGTCTTAGTTCAGGAATCCACTGCCAAATCACAAAACGTCAGTAAAGATAGTGCATAGAGGATTGCAATGTATCAACTCGTCGTCTGCATCCACTTCAGGATAAAAACATTAAGGACAAACTGAGAGGGGCTATTACCTTCTTAGAGATGTTTTCATAACTAGCCTTGCTGATGAGAGAGAATGCCAGTAAAAACACATCGGCACCCCTGTAACTAAGAGGTCGGAGTCTGTTGTAATCTTCTTGACCTGCGTTCAACGAAAACTATCTCCATCGTCACAAATGTAATAAGATCGTTCCAGGCTGTTCCTTGAGTGAATGGTGTAAGGTGAGACTTCTGATGCGAAAAAGAGGAAACCATTGCTGATCAGAGCTATCTCATATATTATGATGCTTTCACTAAATCACAGGTGAATAAACACCGACTTCCTCACCAACTACCAGTGCAACTGACAACCGCGAACTGTGAAGTCTATCCTATTGCGTGTGTTACCTGCTGTATCCCATAGTCCCAGGTTGACGGTATTCCCATCGACCACGACATTCGCGCTGAAGTTGTCGAATACAGTAGGGACGTAATCCTGTGAGACGAAAGTTCCATTTTTCAGCCAAGGAAAATGCAACAGTGGTCCATACAAAGAACATGCCATATCATCACGCGTGTCCACGCCTCTGTTAGAAGTGTTAAAGGTGAACATTGAAATGCAATACTGACATTGACCCTGGAGATTAAACGACGTTAAAAAAGCGGATCTGCGACCCGAAAAGGGTTCAGAGTAAGGGAAGCTAAGAAAACTGAAACCTATTCAGGGATAATGCCAGTTCGGAGACTATCGCAGCTTACAGTAGGAAATGTATTGCTGGTATATGAAATAAGCATGCACGTCTTCCCCACAGCTCCATCTCCTACAGTAACGCACTTGATAAAGCGAGAAGTGCTCATGACTGCGTCCCTCCCTGCCCACCGCTATACAGCCGCAATCCTAAAATAAGGCTTCAGCCTGCCTTTCTAACACGCATTCCAAGTGTGGTGTAGCATGGTTACAGATCTTGAAACACCTGAACTTCGAACACTGCCAAACTCCAGGTTCCACAATCTGCAAAGTTCACATGTTCGCACGAACCGAAGAACCACGCGCCAACAACAACCTCAACCTTGACCTCAGATCTCCCCTGCTCTTCAGATCTATCTAAACCACGCCACGCACAGCTTCCTCGACAATTCCCACAACCACGGCAGCTGCCTTCTCCATATCTCCAACCCCTAACCTGCACACGCTGCTCCACAACACCTCGAATGATCTGCGACACTCTACACCAAACCCTCTGCAGCGCCGCAGAAACTGCACTCCCTCCAAATCCCGACCGAGCCACAACCAAAAGTCCCTACAACACTAACAGCAATACGCCCTTGCACGCCCTCACGCCGACCTCGAACCTCGCCCGAACCTCCTGAAGCACCAGCACATTATTTACGATCTAGAAAACGGCGGCGAGAGCAAACATAAAAGGACGGGCCGCTAAGCTGAGGGAGTACCGGAGCTGCGGTAGTAGTAGCTGGCGAGAGTTTCCAGATCTGCGGAGGGGAGCTGGCGAAGCTTGCGAAGGCAAGGCGAAGGTGCGTCAGGCAGGGCAGGGGAGTATAGTTAGGGGCGCAATGAGGTGTTGAGCCGAAGGAGACGACACTGGCGCTCTCCAGGTCCCCGAATCCACGTCCTGTCCCGGCCAGGCCTGCGCTCCCTTTGCTCGGCACCCTCAGTTTTGGCCGCGTTCTCCTACTGCCCCCGATTTAGGGCTGTGCCAGGCTCCTCAACCCGGTCCCGCCTAGCCCAGTTCAACCGGCCCGCTAACTAAGGCAGCCCCGCGCATCGGAACAAACCAGGAGATAGATTTATTGATTGAGGTCAAACAAATAAAAAAATCAAAATCAAAATCAAATGAATGTTTTCATACCTGAGGATTATCAACTGTAGCGAACAAAGTGATATAAAAGTGGTAGAAACAAATTATTTGTGTACAGTATTTCAATAAATAAGTAGTGCTCAAAATTCCTCCGTATTTATGACGTATCACATGCCTTGCATTGGTGTTTAGAAAAAACATGACAAGGGAAATTGCAATATTTATGCACGTAGGTAGAAAACGTGTATATATACATATACATACATATATATATACGTGTGTGTGTGTGTGTGTGTCAAATTGTTTTTTAGTTTTTTCTCTTCGATTACGGTATTAGTTCTGATGATTTGGGGATGGTCACAGAATTTACTGAAATTTCTTTAAAAGCCTGATAGTTGGAAAGAGCAATTAATCTGTGATGATGAAACTGCATTATCTTTACACAATATCGATTTTGTAAAATAATCTAATATGTGGTGGGTTCACAGTGATGCTTATTTCAGTTTTAAAATTCACTGTTGTTAAGTAAATGTGTCTAAACATGTCTTTCAAATTTTACACTAACTTGTTTTAAATACTCTCAGTCATGCTCTGACGTATCAGATTCAATAATATTGCTTATTCACTACCAAGATAGTAACAATAATAAAAAATAAATCGAATTCAGACATTAAACCAATGTTTGGAACATTGCAACAAGCACCACATTCTGCACAAAAGTGAACACGAACAAAGCATGACTTAAAATTTGTTTCCTGCATTAAATACTTTGTCCAGAAATACCCATTTACTTCTATTTTTATATTTTATCCCAAATATTGTAGAGTAATCAGCTTCTTAATAATTAAAACTTTTATTTCCCTGACCGCTGAAGTCATCTCGTTGCTTCAATGTTATATTTTAATCAAAAGCAACAAAATGCTCAACAATGGATTTACATGCCATTTCGTTTTGATAATGATAACAACTTGCCTTGGTATATTTATTTTTCATTTGGGCATAAATGGTTATCTCCAATGGAAGGATATCTAACGCGTGATTGAATGTCTCCAACCCAATACAGAAGAACCCTAACGGAGATTGAATCAGCCCCGAGCTAATCACTTATATCCAGGTGGCAGCGATATTGGATTGGGAACACGTTCCCAAATGTGAAGCAATGAGAGGAGGAAGAGGGATCAACGGTGAGGGTCGGCGCAGGATCCTACGGCACCGCACAAACAAACAATCCTACGTGGCAGTCCTGTTATTGCCACGTCATGATGCCTACAGCGTGGCAATGGGCTGCGTCCACGTAAGCACCAGCTTATCCACCTCAGCCAGTGGGTTACTGTCACAGAGAGTATCCCAGGTTGGTAGCAGCGAATGGGAGAGTAGATTTTATCGCCATCCTAGTTGCAGCGGCGGACCCTTCCTTCGTTGCTTCTGCCTATCACGTGAGGTCAACTCCCCCTTCCTGGATATGAAACCCGGAGATTTTTTTGTTTTCTTGTTCTTATTCAACCTTCATGTTATATGATTTCTTATAAGTTTTGCATATATGGAGTTTTAGAAGTTTCATTTGTTTAACTATTCTTTTTGAAATTTATATGTTGGTGATTCAGATTACGTAATGAGTTTCTATTTCTAACATTTGGAATCTTTAATGTTAACGATTGGTTATTTTGTATCATTTATAGTTTGTAGCTTAGGTACTGTCCAACTCATGTTTGGATCCCTTGATTTAATTGTAAAATAATAATTATGATTATTTTAGGAGACATTTTAAGAGTATAACATTAATAGTTCCTATGACAATTAGGATAAATTGTCTGATAATAATGTTAATGAATGATTGGTATAAATGTGCATTGCAATGCAAATAATGGACAGTATGAAAAAAAAATATTGTAGGTTTCAAGTACCCGTAGATTTTTCACTTTCAAAAATATTAAAATGAATACAGAAAGTACATACAATTGATGTCAAGTACATTATTTAACTCTTAAAAATCTATTTCACATTATACAGCTACCAATGGACACTGGTTGTCTGTAAGGTACACATAATCCGAGCAATCTTATGTTAAAAAATATATACTTATCGGTAAATTAACATATTGTGCGTATGAAAATTTCACAACTCCGTGTTTGGAAAATAAAAGTTTTTGGAACTTTCACACACAACTTTTGGATTTAGGACAGAACAGGATTCTTTACATTGAACAGGGTGTTGTTACAAAATCTGAACAATATGTGACCCATCTATTATTAACGAATCCCAACAACTACACTACAATAGTTATATTAAAAACTAAAGACATTGCTGTATTTATCACTCAACTGTACTGACTTGATTGTGGCAAGGATTTTAGTTAAATAAATACAATAATCTATGATCATTTCTTTTGATTTTAATTTTGATTTTTTTGTGATGTACAAAGGTTCCAATTCACATGATATTAACCACATCCATTGAAAAAAAAAATCAAACATAATAATGATCAACAAAAATTTTATTCTTACATGTAAAAATCAAGCAAAAGAAGCTTGTGACCGATCAGAATGCTTTCTAGACAATATTCTAATTACGGCTCGAAAAGCTGCAGCAAAGCAGTTACAACTGAGGAAATTATTGTAAACTGCCGTTCTGTAGTGAATTTTATTTTTGAATCAAACCAAATCGAACATATTTATCAGAACAATGATGCAGAGCGAACAGTACATTCAAACCATCTAAGCTTAATCATGAGAAGTGGCTGTCGTTAGTATTCATCCATAACTGCATCCATCATGTACATACGACCAAAAGTACGACCAATCGTATAGAGTCGATATTCCATGGAATACGTACGGACTAGTTCCGTATATTACGGTAGAGAGCCGTTGAGGAGATGAAGTTCAAACGTGGAGGGCAAAGGGTCTCCCCCCGGGCAAGGGGGAGACACTTGGCAGCGTGGCATTGAGTGCCTCAACCTGCCTCATCCCCTTGCCCCCCCTTTTCTCCTCAAATGGGGTGGGATCTCCATTCAAAATTCCTACGCTCATTAATATGCACAATTTGAGACCTGATATATTATAATTTAAGTTTATTTTATTTCGAAAATTGATAATTAGAATATATCCCGGAACTGTAAAGTGGTAACTGAAATGAAAAAAATAAAAAGAGTAATTGATAACGTCGCATGGGCCCCTTCGGAAGATTTGAAAAGTTGAATAATGTCTGATTTAATAAAAACACATTTGTTTGTCTGCATTTACATAATATGCAGATGTATGTGAGTGTACGTATATATATATATATATATATATAATATGAATAGGCAAGAAATAAAATAGAATTAAGTGAGGAACCTGAATTTAAATATTTTAACAAAGCACGTATACACAAACATGTGTTTGTTTGATGTGATATATATATATATATATACATATGATTGTTTACTTGTAAAAATGACGCTTTCAGAGCTTACATCATGGCATCAAAACCAACTAGTGAAATAGTATTACTAAGTACAATACATAACTCTTTTTGAAATTGAAGATAGAATGAATTCTTTGGGATAATTATTTCAACTAGTATCAAATTTCAATATGTTATTAAAATATTGCTTCAAACAAATTTGTTTTAAGCCGCAGTCAATTTGTTGTGTTCAAAAATTATAAGTTGTTGTACTGTTTGAAAAACATGGAATCTAGAAGGATTTAAATTTCTTCATAATGTTCTTTGCTGGCGGAAAATTTCAGAGAAAAATTAATTGATTTGATGTATGGTGTTGGCCTGTTTTCATTTGAGAATGTGTAATACAGATAAAATTTGAAAAATAGTCTTGTAAAGTGAATGTTTAATACAGATAAAATAATAATAATATGGTGTTGGTTTGAACCAACCCTTGGCACATTTTGTTGGGTCCAATCAACAGATAATCTAAACATGTGAGTATAAAATTAGAATAATGTTATTAAAATAATTTTATTGATATAAGTGAAATGTGTTTATCTGTTTTTTGATGTCTAAAAATTAATGTGCAAATTTGCTTCTCAATATTTACAAATCTGGATACATACATGCAATCATACACACAAATGCAGCACAAATGTTCATTAATGTATCCAAAACACATTTTTGTATTTGGAACATTATTTAATTTATCTATTTTTCCCATTTTCATTTCTTTCTTCCTTTCTTACCATGTTTCATGTTTTTGATGTTTATGTATGATACATTCGATATTTGATTATTTAATGTTTGTATGGTTACAGTCCCCATTTAATAAGATAAACTTTTATTTTTTATTATCATTATTTTTCATTAGGTAAGGATATATTTGCCATACAAGAAAATAATGTTTCAATCTGGCTTAAATTAATGTAATTCACATGCATGTATTGTATAGTTTTAAATTTCAAACAGAAAACTTGTTATGAGTATAGATAGATTTTCAAACAGATTATATATATATATATATATATATATATCTCTCCCTCTCTCTCTCTCTCTCTATATATATATATATATATGTATATAAGAGATTTATATCACCATATCACCATCACTTTCAAAATGAGTGTAAATAAAGAGGGCAATCTACATAGACAAAAACCAGAAGGGGAACTTTTCAACTCAACATCCACTACCAAAATTACTTGTGTGAAACTATGTGTGATTGAAACCAAGAAGCCCTATCATCAACAGGGGATGATATCCGTCGTCGGCGCATGAAGAATCCATCCATGAGAGGAGGGACTAGCAAATGGAGCAGCATCCAGAACATTCCTCCGCAACCTGAAGCTCTTGGAACCACCGACCCCTCTCTTTCATACGCTGCCTGGTTCCACTCTTGGTTCCACTCTTGGTTCCACTCTTGGTTTATCCATCCATCCAAGTGGTAGTGTGTGTGTCCACACTGCCGCTGTGGCTTGGAGAAGCTTCCGAAGCTGCTCCGTTCTTTCTAAATTTCAACTCGGCTAGCACCCTTGCTATACTGTTCTCGCCTCTTTGATTGCTTTGGCACGTGAGGGTGGGTGCCCTTGTACTAGCTCCACAGCCTGCCAGGCGACTGCGACTGCTCGTCCATGTTTGTGTGACGGCTTTTATTTCCTGAGGTTCGGAGTTAGAGCAGAATCCTCCTCGGGCATCAGTCCTGGTTTCAACTGTGGAGAGGTCTTCAACATTTAGTGTTGTTGATTGACAACTTATCCATTGGCGTGCTTTTTTGCAGGTTTACGGGTTTAATAGTTAATTACTTATCCTAGTATTAATGCGTGAAGAGGTATGGGAAGTGAAGATTTACGTTGAGAATGTTGGTGGATTCGTGCACACTAATTGCTTGTACACTTTGTTAAAATTATTTTGGCGTCGAAGTGTGGTTCTGATATATTGCTCATGCTATCTTTTATCCTGTCACTGTTCATTTATCACGAAATAGCGGATATAACGGTGCTCTGCTATTCTTGTTTCCCGATTATGTACACAAACGTGGTTTCCATAATTGAAACATACTCATTATGATCATCTAACGTTTAACAGTTTTTCCTCGATCTCTCGTATTCCCTTTCGGTGCAAGCTTCCGTGGTTATTCCTCTGCTTGTGAAGTTCTTCGTTAGTGAGACAATTAGTGTTTTGAAATGATCACTTCGTATTCCGTAATTCCCATTTTTCATGGCAAAGTATATTGAACCGAAATGCATCATATCACTGCGTTCAAATTTCATGGAGTACATCGTCTGCACAAATGTTTCGGAGAAAGCGTAATTTGATTACTTATGCATAACTTGTACACACGTACTGAGATATAATCTAAGGCACCCTTCGACATTCTCGACATGTGTGAAAGCACTATGAACGATGTTCCCATGCAAAATCGTTTATGAGTATATGGCAATAAATGGAGTAAAGGTGTGCAAGTAGGACTAGAAGGAAGGGTTTCACATCGCCACAAGTGAAGGGTCGCTGAGGAAGGTCTTCATGGTCAGCTTTACACGTACAGATAGCATTGCGCTGAGAATGCAGCACCATATGTCATGCCATAGGCTCTTGCAGCGAGCTTGGGAGGCTGGCCTCCCATGACACTGGCGATCAGTGCAAATCTGTACGTTCCCATAGGATTTCTACAACGGACACAAATGAGGTCACTGAAGAGTAAGCAGCAAACCTGTTGGAAGTTTCAAAAAATGACACATGCACAGAAACGGAAAGAGAGCAGGTCACTTACTTGTAGCCACCGGAAGAGGTGATTTGCAGCAATTGCCATGGGGCGCCCATCAACGACACTCGCACTGGCTTGGCGCACTGTTCCGCGTAGAACCAAAATCCGTTGGGGTTGATGAGCTTGAACATGAGGTTACTACCAAACCTGTCGGACTGACGAACCGTTCCAAATTTTCCTAAACTCGTACCGCCGGCAACGTCATATATCGTAGAGTAGTGGCCTTGGGAAGTCCACCTACCATTATTATCGAACCTGTACTGCATCATTCCTTCCAAGAAAAAGACCTGGACGAAGTTAGCCAAGGGCTTCAAAGAGGCGGGGACTCGAGGAGGGACCTGATCCTGGGTAAAAAAAGTGAAAGTTCCTTGGAATGGGACGCCAGAGGTAGCGCCATTTGATGTACAGAGAGCCTTGCGAGGAGGTAAGCCACCTTTCGTCCCAGTGAGAGAGACAAAAACGACTAACGATGCGTCTCCTCCACCAATTCGTTTTTTCACAATGGCCAAGTACTCCGAGACAGCCGATGTAGACACTTGCACGGTCATCACAGCTATGCCTGCAAAGAAATGTAAACCTGAGAGGACGAAGTCTAATGCTGCATGCTAACGACACTCCGAAGAATTACGATAAAATGCTGTTTAAATGAAACAGTCGGATGAAGCACAGTCAATTTGGTACCTTGGAGACCGCTGCTGCTATGTCCTGATTCAGTGGTGGTTCCCGGAGAGTTGAGGAGTTTCCAAGCATACGTTGAGGTTCTCTTGAGTGAATCACATTTGGAAGTGTAGCTACCAAGCTGGTGACCATCTGGAGTGAGGATGCTGGCAAAAGCGCCAATCTTAATCCAGCTGCCGCGATTGCAGATATATCTCTGGGATCCTGCTGTGATTCTCCCCGTGAATCCCACGCTGTATCCATTTGTAACAACATACGTTAGTTGGTATCTCAAAATGCAACCGTCTGGACGGTCCATAACCTTCAAAATTCAAAGCATTCAAAATTTCGCAGAAGGATGTTCTGATCACCTGTATCCTGGAGGTGGAACAAGGTATGCAGAGGCAACGCTCCACAGCACAGCAAAGATACACCATAGAATGGCGGGTTTTGACATATTGCTGGTGGTCAATTCGCCGTGTGTGATACACATTCAACGTCAACACTTCAACTAGAGAACAGCGATAGACAGAAATATAAATCCTTCATGTGCAAAAGTTATATCTTTGGCATTCTCCGAGGTTAGACGATTCCTTCTGGTATGCCGAACTCATCACCACGTAGACTGTCGTTCGAATTGACCCATGGTACAGAAATTCTGCAGGCGAACAAACACGGGATACCAAGGTCAGTTTACTGAATAAAACAAAGCGATCAACAAAACCCTCTTCACATGAATTTCTTACATGCAACCACCCTACACGGTATTCCACTGCGACTCTTCTCTAGATTCCTTGAGATCGTTTCACCATCCTTTTCTGCTTTACCCAGGTCTCGAACTCCAATATTCTACGAGGACGTTTGCAAATTGCTTTAAGAACTCAGACAGTGCAGTCCACCAGCTCACCAGTGGCTCCAATTGCCGAGTGATGATGCTCCTAGTTAAGATGTCAACATGGAAAAAATCACTGGTACTTAGAGTGGTCGGAGGAGGTTGTGACGACGAATGGTAGAGAAACCTAGCAGCTTAAGAAGTGAGGCTGTCGGGGATGGGAGGGAGGGTCAATATTCTGCACGTTCTGCATCCTTTCTTTGGGTTGAACTTACTGTGAACGTGACCCCCTTCCATCGGATCTGCATGAACTGCTGAAATCTAATTTTACGTACGTGACGTCGTTTTACAGAAGCAGGAATTTTTGTGCTTTTTCACCCTCACCGTTGCTCCTTCGCAATGGCCGTGTCATCGTTTTGACGGCAACCTTCTCTGAAAAATCACGTTCTTCCAGAATTTCGCTTGCCTCGATCAAGCTGAAAACTGCAAGCTAAATTTATCTAGATTTCCACCACCAGGCCGGGCTATTTCCGAAAACTCGCTCAGCGGAAGCTGCCATAGACTCGACACGATTGCGTTGCCTTTCGGTCGCTGCCTTGAGCAAATGCAGTTTTACGGTGGCTTTGTAGATTTTTGTGTGTCTGGGTACAAAATTGACACTTACTTAACCACAAAGTATGTTTTTAATTTCCTTCATTAATAGTGAAACCTGTACACGTTTTACAAGGAATTTTCTTACTGTTTGATAAAAAAACCAATTCTTCTATTATTTGCAAGGCTTTGGATAGAAACTTGAAAGTTTGCAGAGCAGCCAGAGGTGCCTACCGCAGTTTTTTGTGATCGGTGACGAGCGTTTTCATTTGGTATGACAAGGATCACCCTCAGAGAACTAGACACTTGACTGACGCAGCAGTCCTTAGCACAACCAGCCAAAGTAATCAGAAGGCTCACAACCAACCCAAATCCCCTTGCAACGCAATCAAAACCCGCTAAATTTTGCATCAGGAGAGCAAAGCTTTGAAATGGGACCATCCAGAATAGAACGACAATGCTCTTTAATTGGAAACCAGCGAAGCACGCTCGTCTGTCGTCTTCAATTTAGGCCCCACCCCATCAGAGACATTAAAAGACGACTGAGGACCACGTCAGAGTCTTTCCATGGTCTGAGATTTCGATTGATTGCCGTGACATGCAGCCAAGTGTTGGCAGTGCCGAGCCAAAAATCCCACTCGTCGAACACGCCGCTGCTCCGGCGATCCGTTCGAAATCTGGAGTTACGCCAGTATTGTGTCATTTGTACAAACTCATTCCACCTATGGAAACCCGTGTCGTTGGGCAGGGAACGTTCCCACGTTCCCTTCTTCACGGTCAATGTGAAGGCTTCTTTGTCTTATACTTTGTCTTATACCCAAGTTATTTTATATAGTAGATTGTGTGGGGGTGTAATCAGTTTGCAGCGAGTTAGGCACTAACACAGCTGAGTCTATTGGGATATAGAAGTTACTACCAAATACTACAATGGGTATGTGGTAAGGTTTGTATTTTAGGCGAGGGGTTCAATTGAACTAAGAAGCAACTAAGAATATATTTGTTATCCTTAATTACAATTTTATTGTATTTTTTTAAAACCTTTTTTTTGTATTTGCAACTTTGAAATCAACATCCTTTAGAAAGAACAATGATTTGTAGGAAAAAAATTAAAAATTAAAAATGATAGAAAATGAAACAAGAACAACTTTTTTTTCTTATCTTTCAAATAATGTTAATTTTTATAATTTTTATAATTGAATATTATGATATTTATTTATTTTCTAAAAAACTAATAAATATCTTAATGATGATAATAATAAACTACAAGAATAATAGTTGGCATTTAAGGTCTTGAACATGTGTTACAAGTTAGATCCCGATTGCATGAATGAATAAAATTCAGAATTCATTTCAAATAATAATTTGTATTTTAAAAGATGTAAAGTTAGTATAAAAGCATTTATTGTGTTCTTGTAGCTCTTACAAATTTTTTAATACTTACATATGATTTTTATTATCAATATTATGATATAATGACATTCTAATCATAGAACTAAAATTCTTTTTTTTGTTAAATTTTACTATTTTATATTTTATTATATAATTATTAAATCCATTAATAACTTTAGTTGTATTTATATTGTATTTATTTATCTGAGATTTTTTTGATATAATTTAAAAAAAAAAGTCTTCTTATAAGTTAAATTATGACTTTAGTAATTCTTTTATAAATTAATATTTAATAATTTAATAACATCTATTGCATAATATTTTTTTGCCTCTTCTAAATTTGTTCTATAGTATATGTTTAATATTTCTATTGTCCAATTTTTGATATTTTTTTTACAATTTATTAAGCTATGTAGCCAACCATGTAAAAATACATAAATCTTAAAAGATTGGCTTCTATTAAGAATATTCTTTTAAAGCTAAATCTTGCAAAAAAAAAAATTTATTTAAAAATATGATTAATATAAAGATATTCTACCATATTACAAAGAATATTTGTAGCTATTGTATCTTTGACAAGTACATTTATACAAGTTTTTGATGTTCCTTTGCAATAAGACAATCTCAAAAGGACTCCTAAAATTTTAATAAGAACATTTTTTCTATACTATGCATACAAATCTTTATCCTCATCTTCAACCTCTTTGCTTATGACACTTGCCAAAAATTTATTATTTAAGAATTATTTATACCTATTAAAGCATTTGCAGTAGGATTGAAAAGGCCATCCATCAACATTGAATCGTATATACAAAGTTTTAGATGCTATCTACAAGTTTATTATTAATAAAATCTTCATCCTTATCATATTAAATTTCTTTAGAGCAATAAGTGAAGAATTGTGTGGACTAAAAAATATTTGCAGTTCTTGATGCAAGTATACCAATCTAAGTAATTTCTATCTGATGCATTATTGTGTGAGCTAAAATAAACCACTACTAATTGGAAGCACATTCTAATTCACAATAAGTGAATTAACTATGTAATTTTGTGAATTATAGCTATTGCTTAAGTCTTGATTAAATCATTTATAAAACCCCATCAATTAATCCAATTAATCAATACATCCTCAACCATAAATTTTACTTGTAATAATGAATCATGCATAAAATTCAAGCATTAATAAAATTTTGTCTATGAAAAAAATTCATCCATGAGTAAAAATTAATCCAAAAATAAGAATTCATTCAAAAATAAGTTCTTATTTGGAAATGAATCATCATCCAATATACATTTTCATCGAAATTATAATCCATTCAATGCCTATGTTCATCTAATTTTAAATTCATCTAATTCTAAACTTCATCCAAGCTGACATAACTTCATTTGCTGGATTTTCTTCATCTTGTGAGTATTTCTAGAGAGTGATGGATGCCAAAATGTGTACATAGTTGATTATGATTTGCTTAATAATAACTTCCCTTAGTGTGTTGCAATTCCAATGTCCACTCTAATAATGTTGTTAAGTATAGAAGTATGTGCTAGTTTTCACAATTCATATTAATTGGATCCAAGCAACAATAGCTCATTGACTATAATCAAGTTTACAATCTACTATGTAATCACAACCATAATGATATTTTGTTGTAATTTCAACCTCCACTCTGATAATGTTATTAGGTATTGTCATATTTTATAAAGTTTGCTTGAAAAGGCATCAAGCATCTAGTTGTAGAAGACAAAATAGAACTTACAATAAGAAGATCCTAAGAATTCTAATAGAATCCTAAACAAACTCCAATTAAATTATAACAGTATTAATCAATCTTTAATTAAATTGTAAAAGAAGTTTCAAAGAACTTACAAAAAAACATAAAAAAAAATCATAAATTAATCTTAAAAGAATATATATAATAAAAAATATTAAAAAAATATCAAATAAATCTTTAAAAAAATATTTAAAAATAAAAATTCTAATTGAATCTTAATCAAATCTTCATGTAATCTTTAACAAATCCTAAATAAATCTTTCTTAAATCCTAATGAAATCTTAAACTAACCATTATAAAATCCTAAATTCTTTTCTTAGACTAAAATCTAATAAAACCTTAAACAAATTCTAATGAAATCCTAAATTCTAACCTTAGACTAAATCTTAATGAAATCCCAATAAAATGCTAATAAAATCCTAAATCCTAATTAAATTTTAATAAAATTTTAAAAAATTCTAATTAAATATTAAATCCTAATTCTAAATAAAATCATAATTAAATTTTATTAAAATTCTAATAAAATTCTAATCAAATACTAAACTTCAATCCTAAATCAAATCCTAAATCATAACCTTAGACAATCTAAATAAAAATTCTAAATAAATCTTAATAAATTACTATAGTTGTTTTGAAACTTCAATAAATATTAATTGAACCATCAACTTTAATTAAAATTTTATTTAGAATTTAATCCACAAGAAATTTATAATCATACAAAATTTGAAAAGAATCAAATTCATCAATTGAAAGAAAAGCTCTCAAAATCTTTCAAATGTTAGCAACCTTCCTTTTTCATCTTTAATATTGATCTTCCAACAAAGATATCTCCTTACTCAATTATTCAATTGGTCCAAAAATTGACTAATATATAAGTACTTAAGTCTTAATTTCTTTTACGAATTTCTGCTTCAATCTAATTGGTAGATGTTGGAAGGTTGTGAAAATCCTCACTAGCTCTAAATTTCAATTATTCAAGACTTTAATCTATAAAACTGTCAAAATCTTCAATCTATAAAACTGTCACAATCTTCAATCTAACTATTCAATTGACATCAAACTTCTCACACTCATTAATATCAAGCATATTGAGAAATTGACAAATGTTTACTTAAAAATATGCTTTAATACTTATAAAATCATCAAATTTATAAACTTCTTTTTATTTCTTAAAATTCAAATCCACAAAATACATTTTTCACTTTGAAAAGCTTTCAAAACCTCAATATACCTTCAAATAAGATGAAGCTTATAGACAAGCTTCTTAAAAGCTTCATAGACATAGATTTATCTTTATACATGTATATAGATGATTAATAGGTTATAAACTTGGCCAACAAATTAACCACGTGTCACACATATTAGTAGCTTGTAGTATAAGCTAACAATATGGTGCACTTATAGAAAAATTGCCTTGTAAGTTAAGACATATGTCTTGCAAATTGGACACATGTTGGAAGTTCTATAGAATGTTGTTACATAGCTCTTAAGTAGATAGTATATATAGAGACAAGAGTGAAGGCATTTTCACTCTTGTCTTTTTTTTTTTTTTTTTTTTTTTTTTTTTACTTCTAGTCTAATTTCAAGAGATTCTAGTTTTTTAATCTTTGGTAATAGCAATTCCAATTTCTTATTAAATAAATTTACTTTCTTATTTTTATTTTGTCATCTCTCTTTGATTCATTTCTCATTTATTTACGTATTTTCATTGAGTTCTTATCCTTGATACATTGACAAGAGTGCCAACTCATTGTTTTTGCCTTATTTTTACAACAAGGATCAAGATCAACTACTATATATGCTATTGAATTCCAAAACCTTATTTGAGATGTATATTGGAACAACAAAGTCCTTATCAATTAATTTCAATATGAATTAAAGAATAATATCAAAGATTTATTATTAATAATATCAAAAGCATATTCTTTAAAATAATTTATTTTTTAAGCCATTGCTTATAATAATCAATTATTTAAAAAGCATTAAGAACAAAAATTTGATTAAAGAAAAATAAGTCAAATAAAGATGGCGGCTCTTAAGTTTTCAAAAACTTATTTGTCGAAGCTGGAAGCAATGTAAATTGATACAATATATTTTAAATTTCTCACTAAGCAAGAAAAGGTTTGACATTTTCAAGAGAATTTATACATATATTGTAGAGAAGCTAAGCTCATTATTCAATATTGTCCAACAAAACAATACAATTTCAAAATGAGGTGCATGGTTGCCAAAGAAGACAATGTGTTGAAAAATAAGTTTCTCCTATTATAATAAGGATTGTGCAACTGAAATCATGTACAATATTTAATAAAAGTCATATTCTCTCTT